TGTACTTTCTTGATTACCATAGCTTTGTAGTATACTCTGAAGCCAGGGGGCCAGATTTCTCCAGCTCAGCTTTTAGAAATGTGTAGATTATGTTTTGATATATGATTAAGTATCTGTTTTAACTCAGTCAGATATATCTAAGACAGGTATGTTTGTGCTATGTGTGTGGAATTTATCTGTACATAAACAGATAAACATTCTTATAATTGGTCAACTGGATGGGACGGCCAGTATTAGGATGTGAGCTTTGCAAAGAAAAAATGTAAAATGTGCTGAGTCCATCTAGCAAGATGATTTTAATCAGTCTGGTAACTTTAACAATGTATCTATGTAAATCCATGACTGATTCATATCAATGTATGACAAAAACCACTACAATATTGTAAAGTACTTAGCCTTCAACTAATAAAAATAAATGGAAAAAAAACCACACATACACACACCAAAAATGTATCTGTGAATAATGATTTTGAAACAGAGACATATTGAAGGAAAATGATGTTAGAGATGCGTAGCAGGGAGAAGAGAATTCCAAGTCTGCCAGTCAAAAGAACCATGTGTTCTTGCTTCACCACATACAGTTAGGAAAGCATGACAGGTGTTCTTTGATTTCTAGGGAGACTAGAAACCAGTGAACACACAGGACATAAAATAACAATTGCACAGTATTCCAGGAGAGATTTTATTTCATGAAAACAGAAATAAATTTATACACTTAACATATCAAACTTAAAAAAATCAAACAATACATTTGATAAAGAAAGGCGAAGTTTCAGAAAGTCAAGTGGGCACTTTACCTAACAACCTCAATTATTCACATTCCTGACACCTAGGGTCAGAGTTTTGACCTCTGATCTTGGGTATCTAGAGCAAAGAAAAGGTTTGAGCGGAGATGAGAAGGAGCAGTAGAGGAAACTACAAATCAGGGAACTATTGGCCACATTGAAAAAGCTCAGGATTCCACCTTCGTAATCCAGGAACATCCCCACCTGGCCCAGAGGCTTTTTGACATATTGAGGTAACAGTGGGAAGGAGGTAAAGAGATTGTACTGACTGTTCTCTTTGATACAAAGAAGTAGAAAAATTCCCTTGGAATCAAGGGCCATGTCACTTTCCCTTGCCCAGGAGTCATTGCAAAGTCCAATGGCCCAGGTGCAACAGCCCGCCACATCCACCTCCCAGTAGTGCTGACCGGAAGTGAATGACTCAGCTCCCCAGGCAAGAAAATATTTAGATCTTGGTGGAGTGTTGTCGACCCCAGGACCATCAGGACCAGCCAGCAGACATCTCAGATCTTCAAGCATAGGGAGATAATGAGTGACTCTTTCATTATGCAACACAGTGTACACTGTAGGAAAAAGGAAACAAAATTATATTAACAAATGGTGTTTAAATTCCTGATGGACATGAGCTTTATACAGTGTCTGAGTTGCGTAGCTTATGAGTAGAACTTGGAGGCAGGACAGCAAGAGAGCATGAGGAATCTTTTGTAGTCCACGATCTTCTTGTCTGTCTTCATAAGAAGAAGATTTGGGCCAGAACAAATGGGAGAAATCATGATTTTTATCTAGGAGATCTACTGCTTAGTTTTGGCCATTGTTTTCCTGGGACATTTGAAATAGGCAATGAAATAAAAATTCACTATCAGAAAGAAAAAAAAAGTAGTTTGCCCATATCATTAGAAAATGTTCAATAATAAAGATAGTATTAATGACAACTCCAAAAGAGTGATCACTTTCCCTGACAAGGATTTTCACTAAAGAATTCAAATTTAAACTAAAATTTTAAAAAATCACATTTTTGAAATGCTTTCTTTGTGAGAATTTTCTGCCAGTATACCTTGAAAAACAAAAGAAGCATAAATCTTTTAAAATTAGTTCCCAGCTAACTTTGCCAATCTTGCTAATAAACTTTATAAAATTTCACATTATGTTTGTAATAAGCTTGATCATAGAGAGGATTTTGTTCAATGTTCAGAAAATATGCTTTGAATTTATTACAAATCATTTATAGACCAACTTAATACTCCCTAAATATCTCACAACCAGTGATAACCTCCCTTTCCTAAAACTTGGAATGTACCAAATGTACAGACAGACTTACATATTTCAAGGAAATAGTCAGCAGCATGCCAGCCTGCTGTTGGACATCAATTATCTTTTCTCATTTTTTACTTGCTTTTTCCCCTAGATACCAGATATATATATGTGAGAAAAACTGGTATCTAGGAAAAAAGCAAGTGTATATATAGAGAGAGTTTGCCAAGATTTCTTCCTTTTAAGATCTTATGGGGAAAAAAAAAGAGCTATTTGGCCAATCCAACGTTGTGTATTATTATTCTACTATAAGGCTGTATGTGTTAGTCGTTCGGTCATGTCTGACTCTTTGCGACCCCACGGAGTGTAGCCTGACAGGCTTCTCTGCCCAGGGAATTCTCCAAGCAAGAATACTGGAGTGGGTTGCCATTCCCTTCTCCAGAGGAACTTCCAAACCCAGGGATCGAACCCTGGTCTCCTGCCTCACAGACAGATTCTTTACCGTTTGAGCTACAGGAAGTCTACTCTAAGGGTAAATTTGGTTATAAAAGTTCCCCAAAAAGAGTCCATAGGTTGAGCAATGAGGAAGGTCACAGAAAGAACATGAACAAAGACAAGCATACAACTCCCCTGTCAGAGGGCTGCCTGTTACCTTGGAATTGTCTGAGCCAGTCTATGAGTCCAGGGATGGGCCACACGCTGAGTTCAGGAAGCACAGGCTGGGGCAGGAGCAGCTGTGCTGACTCGGTCCTGCAAGAACGGACCCTTCCCAAGGACTGCAAGGAAAAAAGACCATGTTAGTCATGAGATTTCTGTCCTTTTGTATCTTCTTTCCTCCTTCCGTTTGTTGAAAATCTATTATTTTCTCATTCTCTTCTAAGGAACAATCAGAAACTATATTAATAACAGAGCTTAAACTAAAACATGATGGGCTTCCTCAGGGTACATTAAGGAAGGAAGGAGGCCAGGAAGAGTGTGTGCAATGATGCAGCCACATCTAGGATTCCAGTGTCACTCACAGCCCGTGCTACTCCCAAGGAGAGATCTCACCATCTATGATAACAATTAAAGCAAAACAGGGAACCATAAAAAGGATTTATCGAATGCATTGGAACTGATGACCATTTCTAACAATCTTGCACAGAAAACTGGCAAAACCTCAGTGTCTCCAGGAAGTGTGAGATAACAGAGTGATAAGGGTTTAGCAGAACATATATTGAGATTTACTCCAAGAAAGTTAACTGTCCCCTGGTCACAGAATTTTGCTGATTTTGGATCATCTGTCTGGATAGTACTCCTGATCACACTGGAAAATCTGGTATTATGTGAGGTAGGAAAAGGGCAAAGATATTTCAAAGATTACCAGGATATGATGAGAGAGGGATTTGAGAAATATAACTGGAGTCAAGGGGCACCATCCCTTAGCCGAGAGTAACCATGTATGAGGTAAGAGTTCAGTGTCACAGCAGCTCGTCTAGAAGAGTGTTTCTCTCTCTGAGGACGGACCCTCCCTTCTCACCTGGAGCAGCTCTGTGTCCGGCTTGTGGCACATTGCAGTCAGCTCTCTGTGCAATTCTTTCAGACTTTCTCCCTGTTGAGTCATTCTCAACACACTCTCCTTGAGTTGCTGACAAATCTCCTTGCCTTCTCGCTCCAGGGCCTCCAGATGCAGTTTCTCATCCTCACGAAGCAACAGAGGTATCCTCTGATATAGAACTGTAATCATGACCTTCCTTAAGGCGACATAATTCTGCAGAGACAGTGGATTCAAAGCATTACTTATGCTCACATTCAAAAGAAAGCTTCAAATATTATTCCCCTAATATCATTGAGAATGTTCTTGACAAACTTTCTGCCTCAAACATCTAATGGTCTTGAATATTTGCTGGCCCTTCCTCTCTGTCCTTTCTCTGAATTCCTAGTCTCTTTCCCTGTTTAAATCAAACCATCTAAAGGTCCCAGGTTCCTTCCCTAGGTGGATTTTCCAGGGTTCTTACTCCATCAATTATTTCCTCTCTTACCTGAATCTTGTTTCTCTCTTGCTCCTTACCCTGATTTTTCTAAATATTCTTTTATGAGATGAACCCCATCTAGCACAGTTCATAAAATATGCTCTATTTTTCCTCTAGGTAATACTATATTTTTATCTTCTCCTTCAGAGTCACTCTTAGTACAATGTCATCTTATTTTGCATGTCTTAGAAAGCTTACTCAAATCTTAAAAATTTGGCCTAAGAATACTTTTCATGCCTTGGTTTTCCTATTTACTAGCATTCTTTGAGCTAACTTGCATTGCTGTTCTTGTTGTTCAGTTGCCCAGTTGTGTCTCTTTGTGACTCCATGGACAGCAGCACGCCAGGCCCCACTATCCCTCACCATCTCCCGGAGTTTGCCCAAGTTCATGATTATTTATCGGTGATGCCGTCCAGCCACCTCATCCTCTGACACTCTCTTCTCCTTCTGCCCTCAATCTTTCCCACCATGAGGGACTCTTCCAATGAATTGTCTGTTCACATCATATGACCAAAGTAGTGGAATTTCAGCTTCAGCATCAGTCCTTCCAACAAGAATTCAGGGCTGATTTCCCTTAAGATTGACAGGTTTGATCTCCTTGTTGTCCTCGGGACTCTCAGGAGTCTCCTCCATCACCACAGATCAAAGGCATCGATTATTCGGCACTCAGCCTTCTTTATGGTTCAGCTCTCACACCTATACATGACCACTGGGGAGACCATAGCCTTAGACTATACAGATCTTTGTCTGCAGAGAAATGTCTCTGCATTTCAACACACTGTTGAAAAGCAATTTGCATTGGCTTGTTCTAACTATGATTACCGGTAAGTCATTTTAAACTATTACTTTTCCAGGGAAGAGACAAATATCCTTTAATGGGAACTTAAATGGGCCTAAAATCTAGAATTATATCAATGTCTATACAAATAAATCAGAACATTTTTATTCTTACCTCAAAGGACTGAGTTTTGTTAGCTTCCTGATTCAGACTGATTTGCATTTCTTCTCTCAGTTTCCATAAAGATCTCATTCTCTTTACAAGTTTCTCCTGCAAAATACCCATGAGATTTAGTGACCTAGAAAGTGACACCATAAATTTCATCCTGTTCTGGATGAAGAAAGGCAGTTGTTGGTTACATAGAAATCTTGCATAGAATGCTGTGGCCAGAGCTTTCCACATTACTCTAATTTGGTTCTAATACTGGATATCAAAGTCACAGAAGTAAATACTGGAGAACTGGGGGAATTTTACAATAATAGAATCTATTTCCTAAGAAATTGAATCTCACACTTTAATATAGCCTGACTAAGAAAGCCTCAAACTCCCATCAGAAGCCTGTGTCCCTGGTGCCACCCTCCCCGGGATGCTGCATTTCCACACGTGTGGGCAACTGGGCAACAACACTGACAGGACACGTTATATGTGAGGATCCACATTCAGAAATCCCACCTCCACTATCTCCATCCCATCACCATCATAGCATCCTCATCTTCCCCTCTGACTTAGGAGCCTCTAGATCCCAAACCGCTCCAGAGGCATCACCTACCCGGGACTCCTCAGCAGCCCTGTGTATGGGACTGTGGCTGTGAGCTGCGTGCTCGGGGCGTTCAGAGCAGGGCCCGCAGAGCAGGGTCTGGTCAGCCTCACAGAAGAGGCCTCTGGCTTCCTGGTGTGTCTCACAGATCTGCTCCTCAGAGCAGTGGTCGTGGTCAGCTCTGGCCTGTCTGGCAAGGGAAGCCAGCCTCTTGAGGACAATATTGGTTTTGAAATGTGGCCTCTCTGATATTCCCCTGCACTCAGGGCAGCTCCTTGGAGTCTGGCCTTCTTCCCAGCAAAGGCTCAGACAGGGACGGCAGAAGCTGTGCCCACAGTCTATGGTGACGGGGTCCAGGAAGCAGTTCATGCAGATGGAGCAGGTGAGTTCCTGCTGGAAGGCTTCCAGCTCGTCTGAATCCATGTTTCTGAAAATGAGAGACAAATAAGAGAAGGTAAGCGAAAAGGCTATTCTTCTGTCCTGATCAGGGAAAATAAAGCCTTTGGCACAGTTCTGTTTTGAACTCTATCTCATTTCCATATTTGCTTACCCTCAATACAAACCTGTATACTAAGTTACTTCAGTCATGTTCAACTCTTTGAGAACCTATGGATTGTAGCCACCTGGGGTCCTCTATCTATGGGATTGTCCAAGCAAGAAAACCAGAGTGGGTTGTCCTGTCTTTCTGGAGGAGATCTTTCCTACCCAGAGATTGAACCCATGTCTCTTAAGCATCCTGCATTTGCAGGTGTGTTCTTTACCACTATCACCACCTGGACTTCCTGATGGCTCAGTGGGTAAAGAATCGGCCAGGAATGCAGGGGACATAGGAGACACGGGTTCCAGCCAAGGGTCAGGAAGATCCCCCCAGCACTCTTGTCTGGGAAATCCCACAGACCTGGGAGCCTGGTGGGCTACAATAGAGTTGGACATGACTGAGCGACTAAGCATAATCACAGTAGAAACCTAGAAATGGTGACTACAGACTGTTGGGTTCGTGCTATAATAAAAAGGATGAAATTAGATAAGAGTCACTAGCAGCTTTTATTGTTTAAAGTAAACATGAGTGTAAATGTTAGGATGACTCCAGAGTTAATTGGTCAGCTGACTGGTACCAAAGCCCACATGTAACCTCAGTCTGTCTCTCTCTCTCCGTCTCTCCCTACTTGGAACCCACACTAGCACTCACTTTGTCTCTGTGCTAATGTTCTCCATTCCTTCTGCCTTTGAAGTGACATATGTGCTTTTCTAAAGACAAGTACAAATGTTTATGAATAATGTAAACAGTGTAATCAATGTTGTTTTTGACTTTGATGTGCTAAATATGTAAATAAGTCAGTGTTTCCTTATGACTTAAGTAACAAAACTACTCTTTTCAAAGCAAAAAAAAAAAAAAAAAAAGAAATTATGTCATTGCTAGTTCAGGAAAACAGTTTTACCTGGAGTGAGTTCAGATGACCAGAGCATGACATATTTTGAACTGGTGAATGTTCCCACTATAACAATAATCAGTAAAAAGATCAGTTGCTTACTAAAAGCAAAGAAATAAGTTTGAATATACACAAGGATTTCCTCTCTACGCTAGAAATTCCAGACATTTGGTTAATGGAAGCAGCATCAGGTTCTTTGTTTTCTGAGACTTCACTCTCTGTCCATTTCACGTCTTTGGAGTCCTTACTGGCTAATTAAATCTATCTTGAACACTTTTCACTTATGCACTGCAAAGTGAGGGTTCTAAAATGATAGCAAATGCCACCATTTCAAGGAGGTTTTCTGATTAATTCACCCATTTAGCTCATGTTCATCTGTGTGAAAGATATGAAATATATACATTATGTTGAACATTTTAGGAGTACTATGTGTTTATAAGTACTTGGGTCTCTAGAATACTCTTCTAAGACTTAAGAACATCTAGTAACATAAGGTCATGAAATAATGATGATTAAATAAATAAACATTATAGATATCAATATATTAAAATTTCTTTATTATGTTATTTTAAATTTTGATGTCAATTTTAAAACCTAAAACTACTTGTTTTCTTGGACACTATTTATCCAGGTAAGTAGGTAAATGGAAAGTATTTGGATAAGAGAAAGTGAGCATGAATATACACTTTAAGTTATCATACATTGTGACTAAATATTTGTTTTAAATATATGATTCCTGTTTTCTTCCCTGTCTATGAGAAATTGAAAAGAAGAGGCTACATCTTTCCAAGGCTGAGAATTCAGTTCTGGTCATGAAAAGAGACAGAAAGAAAAACTTCTGCTAATTGAATGAGTATAACATCAACTTTAAGATGCCTTTCCAAAAAAGCTTGACAGTAAAGCCATAGTGTACAGATCTATTTCTTGTAAAGATTGTTAATAAGAGATTTATGGAATTCTGATAGATGACCAAAGTTTTCAACAATATAGAACCTAAAGCCTTTGACTGAAATGTGCATCAATTGAGGAGATAGCTGATGAACAGGGAGAAAGTATAAAGGAAAAAGGTGTAGAATGGGTTAGAAACTGGCCAAGAATTCTTGAAGAAAATCACTTTTATACTAATGACATCAATGATTATGATACTATTAAAATAATAGGAGAACCTAATGGGCTTCTCAAGTGGCTCTGTGATAAAAAATCAGCTTGCCTACACAGGAGATGGAGGTTTGATCCCTCGGTCACAAAGACCCACTGGAGAAAGAGGTGGCAATCCACTGCAGTATTCTTGCTTGGGAAATCTCATGGACAGGGGAGCCTGGTGGGCTAGTTCATGGTGTCCCAAGGGGTCGGACATGACTTAGTGACTCAACAACAACAGGAGAAGCCAATATGTGTTTTGTTTATTTTTTATAAATATCTCTAGGTATTAGATTAACTCCTTTTATATGGATTAACTATTTCAATTTTCTCAACAGCATTTACTAATTTTCTATTTTTACCCACATGTTCTAAGGAAGCTGCTTGACATAGTGTGGGTAAAAGAAGTTACTTGTCTACAAATCCCACAGGGAATAAACACTTGATTCAGGGTTCACTTATAGATATTACTGATAGAAAAAAATTACATTTCTGTCAGCAATTGCCATTAAAGTTTCATTTTTAAGTGAGCATAGCAGAATTTCACTGTACCTTGATAAAAACTCACCTTTGGTTACACTTGATGAAATGTTCTATTCCTGTTCGGTAAGTAGCTATTAAATTCAGTTCAGCATTAGGTGCTCACCTCCTCCTGGCAGTAACTTTTAAAATTCTTCTCAGTGCAACAAACTCCAATCGGGACAGCTCTGGATTCTGGAGAAGAATGCAATTGCATCTTCAGGGAATGCTTTATATATTCTCTGAAGACCACACCCATTTCCTCCAAGTGATGTGGTTATCAGCCCTATGAAAAGGTATAGGTGAACATGATTAGATTTTTGCAGAGTTGAAAGCATTTTCATTTGCTAATGATTGAAGTCAACCTTTGAAATCTACTTAATTCAATTGCTACACTGCAATCTCTGCTAAAAAGTCATATCTTGAGTTTACAGTTGTAATCCATGAAGTTGTTGTTTGGACAATAATAAACTCCTGAACATGAATTTAATATCTCTGTTTAATGATCGATATTATAGTTCTAATTCCAGATGACAATTATATCTATTACTTTGGGCAAGAATTCCTTAGAGGAAATGGAGTAGCCCTCATCATCCATAAAATAGTCTGAAATGCAGTCCATGGGTGAAATCTCAAAAAGGACAGAATGACCTCATTCATTTCCAAGGCAAACCATTCAGCATGACATAAATCCAAGTCTATGTCCCAACCACTGATGCAAAAAAAAACCCCCAAACCCCTGAAATTGACCCATTCTATGAAGAACTACAACACCGAGAACCTCCAGATGTGCAGCTGGATTTCACAGAGGCAGAGGAGCCAGAGATCCAATTGCCAACAATCCTTTGATTCCTCCATGATCAACAATCCTTTGATCATGGAGGAATCAAAGGAATTACAGAAAAACATCTACTTCTGCTTTATTGACTACACTAAAGCTTTGAATGTGTAGATCACAATGAATTGTGGAAAATTCTTAGGAGATTGGAGTACCAGACTACCTTACCTGTCTCCTGAGAAACCTGGATGTGGGTCAAGAGGGAACAGTTAGAACTGGACATGGAAAAATAGACTAGTTCCAAATTGGGAAAGGAGTATGACAAAGATGTGTATTGTCACCCATGGTTATTTAACTTATATGCAGATTATATCATGCAAAATATCAGGCTGGATGAATCACAAGCCTGAATCAAGATTGCCAGGAGAAATATCAATATATCTCATCCTCAGATATGTGGATGATACCACTCTAACTGCAGAAAGTGAAACGGAATATGTCTTTTGATGACAGTGAAAAAGGAGAGTGAAAAGACTGGCTTGAAATTCAGCATTAAAAACACTAAGCTTATGGCATCCAGTCCCATCACTTCATGGCAAATAGCAGAGGAGAAAGTGGAAGCAGTGACTGATTTTATTTTCTTGGGCTCCAAAATCACCTTGACAGGTGACTGCAGCCATGAAATTTAAAAACAAATAAATAAGCAAGCAAGCAAACAAACAAACAAAAAAAACCCCACACTTGTTTCTTGGAAGAAAAGGTGTGACAAATCTAGATAGTGTGTTGAAAAGCAGAGACATTGCCTTGCTGACAAAGCTCCAAATAGTCAAAGCTATGCTTTTTTCAGTAGTCATGTATGTGGATGTGAGAGTTGGACCATAAAGAAGATTGAGCTTGTTATTAAGCCCTGGTTTGAATTCCCTAAGTCATACAGCAAATTCCCATTGGCTATATCTTTTACATATGATCATGGATATTTCCATGTTATTCTTTCCATACATCCCACCCACACCCTAGAGGGGCGGGATGGGGAGGAAGGTGAGAGGGATGTTCAAGTGGGTGGGGACATGGGTAAACCTATAGCTGATTCAGGTTGATGTTTGGTAGAAACCAATAAGATACTATAAAGCAATTATCCTTCAATTAAAATAAATAAATTAAAAAAAAAAAGCTGAGTACCCAGTGGAAGAATTGATGCTTTTGAACTGTGGTCCTGGAAAAGACTCTTGAGAGTCCCTTGGATACAAGGAGATCAAACCAGTCAATCCTAAAGGAAATCAACTCTGAATATTCATTGGAAGAACTGATGCTGAAACTGAAGCTCCAATACTTTGGCCACCTGATGTGAAGAGTCGACTCACTGGGAAAGACCCTGATGCTGGGAAAAAAGTTGAGAAATCTAATTTCAAAAAAGTTATGAAGCCTGATTTTGGCAAACATTCTTTGGTCTAATAAGTAATCATTTCAAGCTAGGTTTACTTTTGACCATGTTGAGTTTGGGCTTCGCTGGTGGGGAATATATATAGAGAGATTGGAAAGAGTTTTAATCCAGTTAG